CAAGTCCAAACACCAAGGGAAAAAAGCCCGTAAAACGCCCAGAAAATGACAATTCCCAACTCTTTTACATATCTTTGGAGCTTTTCCTCCTCTATGCGCTAATTTTTTAAAGCACGAGGGCACGCTCCAGCTCTGTCACCAACTGCTTTTTTCCTCTCAGAACCGTAAGAAACTTCTCTCGGAGAAACCGAAAGCGAATTCTCTCCTGTTCATACGCCTGGAGGCACCGAGACATCACAGCTTTCCTTCCAACCCTTCCCGAAATGGAGCGTCTGCCCAGCCCACGTGCGGATGTGCCCCCGCACTGCAGCCCCTGGGTCCTCAGCTCTCGCCACGAGACGCGTCGGATTCGAGAGAGTCTGAAACTTGGCTGCACTTTCCAACGGGAGGAAAAAAGCACAGATCTGTCAAACTTTCCCAGGAAGGGAAGAAAATAAAATAAATTTCAAAATAAAACAGTGTCAGAGACTAAGTGCCAAGTGATTTAAAAGAGAAAAGAAAAAAGAAGAAAAAAAAAAAAAAGCCCGAGTGTTTCTTTCCAAGATCTGCTGGAGCGGGATATTCTTGGAGGCAGAAATTTGTTCTTGGGGTTGGTTTTGGTTGTTTTTTTTTGGTCTGAGAAACCAGAAAGGAGACAAACAGCGCTCCAGGTTGGCAGAGCCACAGGGAAAAGTGGTTCCTTTACCCCCAGTAAACTACCCTCAGCTGCTGAAAACATCCAGGGAGATGCAGCCCAGGAGGAGGAGGAGGAAGGGACATCTCCCCACCCAAACCCCGCTGCCACCAACCCATCCCGTGCCTCGGTTTCCCCACTGCTCCATCACCCCCCAGCAGGACCCTGGGCCACCCACAAGACTCCAGAAGTTTAAAATGCAATTACAGAGTAGATATTTCGCTGGCAAAGGCACAGCTGGCCGAGCCCATCCGTCTCCCTCCCCGGACAGGTTTATTGCTCTGGCTTTTCCCAGCACGAGCCTTCCCTCCCATCCATGGCACAAAATGAGGGCAGCTCCACTGGCCACTCCATCTCCCCGACTAATTTGTCTGTGATTTGTATACACGGGGAAAAAATCCAAAGGGTTTGGCAGAGCCTTGGTTTCCATGAGCTATGGGATGCTCCTGGCACTGTCTCTCTCCCCATCCAAGGACAGGGTTGGGGAGAAGCAGGTTCTCCTTCCCCATCAATAAGATTAAGGGCACAAAAATTAACACCTGAGCAATTAAATGCCAACAGCCCAGCTCCAAGGGTGGCTGGGGGTGAAGGCAAAGGGGAGAAACCCAGAGCAGAGTGTAAAGAATTAAGGTTTCATCAACATGTTTGCAAGGAGGGCAGGGAGACTGGAATCTGAAATACCCGTCTGCAGCAACAGAAGGGTTTTATCCATCCTAAGGGCTGAGGGCAGGGGCTGTGGAAGCAGGATGAGACTACTCTGGGTATGGATATGCCCTAAAAATCACCAGGAGGAAACAAGGAGCCCCCAGTTCCCCGTGCTGGCTGGAGGCCAGGGTGACAGCAGCTCGGGGCGGGGAGGTGAAGGCGAGTGAGGGAGGTGTGATCTGAACACCAGAGCAGCTAAAAATACTGCAGGGAGCTGCTGGTCTGCTCCTGGGGGTGTGTTGTGTGTCCAAGACAAAGCCTGAACACCCCTAAATCACCCCAAATCCAGAGCCTGCCCCATGCATGACAGGCATCCCATGCCAAGGATGAGATGTACCCCATTAAACATCCTAAACAAAACCCCTGTGGTGTGTCCAGGCAGTGGGGAGAAGAGGGATGAGTGCCAACGTGGGGGTTAAACACCAGGCAGACCAACATTTTTAAAAAGGAAAGAAAAAAAGAGGTGGTTTGAGGGATTTGCCATGGAGATGGGTACCAGTGCTGCTCAGCCTCCTCCCCGGGTACTGCTGCCACCCCACTCCAGGCACCACTGCCACCTCCATGGCACCATCACGTGCCCAAGCAGAAGGCAGCAGAGGGACAAGCACTAACAAAGGGGTTAAACACCAGATGAAGCAAAATTACTTTAAAAGAAAGTAAAAAAAGATGGCTTGAGGGGTTTGCCAGGGAGCCTGGTACCAGTGCTGCTGAGCATCCCCCCCAGGTACCACTGCAGAGGGGTGAGAGCATCAACATGAGGGTTAAACACCAGATGGACTAGATTTTCTTAAAAAGAAAGCAAAAAGAGATGGTTTGGGGGATTTGCCATGGAGATGGGTACCAGTGCTGCTCAGCCTCCTCCCCGGGTACTGCTGCCACCCCACTCATGGCTTGAGGGGTTTGCCAGGGAGCCTGGTACCAGTGCTGCTCAGCATCCCCCTGGGTACCCCTGCAGTGGGCAGAGGGGAGCAGAACACGAGGGTTAAACGCCAGATGGACTAAATTTTCTTAAAAAGAAAGAAAAAGAGTTGGCTTACTGGATTCACCAGGGAGAAGGGCCCTGCTGCCACTCAGCACCCCTTGGGAACCGCTCCCACCCAGCATCCCCCTCCACAGGGATGGAGAGGAGGAAAGCCGGGGAGGAAAGCACAGGGATTCACAAAGGAGAGGGAGGAAAAGAAAGACCAAAGAGCCAAATACAAAGGACAGCATCTAATTAATTCTCTGTGGCCACCGAGGAACGTGGCCGCCTGCCCACAGCCCAGCCCGGGCTCTTTCATCCGCCGAGGCTCCGCTCCTCTCGCTTCAAAGTTAATTACACACTTAAACCTTTTCTGTTTAACCTCCTGCACCATGAGACTTGCTCCACGGGCTTCTCTTTTCTTCCATGGAGCAGCCTTGAAAAGGCTCCTGTGCCAAAGGGCAGCCCAGCACCATCCACTATGGGATCACAGCCCGGCACCACCCGCGATGGGATCGCACCCCAGGAGGGCAACACCACCCCCCAGACCCCTCAGGGCATCGTCTGATGGGGATGTTGCACTAATAACACACCAAAAAGGGGACAAGCTTTATAAAAAATGGGTTTATACTCAGAATTTTAGCAAGTGCAGCATCCCCAGAGCTATGATATAGGGGCAGGTGCCCAAGATTTACTGATGGAAAAAAGCCCATTTTGCTCCCATCTTGGCTCATCCAGGACTGGATTAGCCCCACGATCATCTCTGGGGTGCAGCATCTTGGGGCACAAGCCTGAGTGGCACAAGACTCCAGAAGATTCCATCCCATGGCCCAGGCACCAGCCAGGGGAGCCAACACCAGTGACCTTCCGGAGTCAAGGTAAATTTTTTATCCCTGGCCTTTTCCAGCAGCTCCTGCCCCCCATCCCAGGTAATTATCAGCAGGAAATCAGCGGGATTAGGGTACCCACAGGACACACCACACATCTCCCCAACAGCCAAGTGGTTCCATGCAAACATTCAAGGGCCGTGACCACCGACCCACCATCACCATCATCCAACCACACCAACGTGGCAGGGGGTGAGCAGAGCTCCTGTCACCCAAATCCACAGCTTTCCCTGCTTCCCAGGAGCAGGGATGGAGCTGGAGGCACACAGCCCCAGAATATCCCACCCGTGACCTCTCCTCTTAAGTGCACGTGAGGAAGATGCTTTTCCTGCTCTTTACACAGGAAAAATGGTTCAAGTGCTGCTGCAAATGGGGAAACTGAGGCACGGGGGTGATTTGGTGAAGTGCCATAACACCAGCAGCCTTGGCACCATTCCCCAGGGATGGCAGGAAGCCCGGGGAGCCGGGGTTTTCTGGGATACAGCACCTCAGCTGCCGTGGATCCCCGCGAGGTGCCATCCCTTCCCCAGCACCCCTGTGGAGCAGAGCCAGCCTCCCACCTCTCACATCCCAGCTGCTATTTAAAGGTGATTTCCTTGGCACACTCCCACAGGAACGTGCCCCAGGAAGGAAATGCTGGGAGCCGCTTTTCCCGGGTGCTGGCAGGGAACACGTCCTGCAATCCATCTAAAATTAGCCATCCTCACCCCATGTGATTCCATGCACAGCATTCCGCAGGCTGAGGTTCAGGGATAAGGGAGCACAAACCCCAGTTACATCTGGGAAGGGCTCAGACTTCCCAGGGGGATGATGCCACAGAGTCTGGGAATTTTTTGGCACTGAGGAATCCAGCTTGGAGAGAAAACCCAGGCGGGGAGCGGATCCTGTGCCACAGCATTCCCGGTGAGAGCCACACAGGGACCCCAACAGCTCCACAGCCAAGCCCAAACCTCCCAGGATTTCTGTCTCAGAAGTGGGAAAACCTTTCCTAGTCCAGGCAAAGAGGAGCTGAATCCCTCCTTAGCTGCACTTTGCTCACTCACGGGGGTCTGAAAGTTGTTTTGTGCATTACACACCCCTGAAAGGACAATAAACCCCCTCCCTCTGCAACTCGTTCCCCAATTCTGCAGAACAGAAACGTTTAAAAAAAAACCAAAACAATTAACTGACTTCT